TATTTAATCTTTTTATTTAAGAAATGAATACTTTTATTCACCAAGCTTACATTAAGAGTGACCGTAAATACATTTACCTAAAAAAAATGTTAATGGTTTCTTGTGCACCAACTCAGCATATTATAATGATTTCTGAAGGATCATGAGACACTGAAGACTGGAGTAATGACTCCTAAAAATTAAACTTTACCATCACAGAAATAAACGACATGTTATTAATATAAAAAATGGGGGGGGGGGATTAAATTGTATTTATTTTACAATACTAATGATTTACTGAATTTTTAATCAAATAAATGTAGCCTTGGTGAGCATGGGACTTTAAAAAATATTTAAAAATCTTACTGACCACAAACTTTTCAGTGGTGGTGTATGGAAATAGGACTAATACATCATGATAGTTGGTTGTTGGTATTTCTTAATATTTTTAATTTATACTAAATTACACTAAATTTTTATTTTATGTTTACTTTTATTTTTTGTGTGGGGCAGATAAACTGACTTTATTTATAATCTTGGTAACATTCTAGTTTTGTTGCATCTCTCAGTGTACAGTATATTGAGTATAACAACATCTACATTCCAAGCGACACTGAATGAAACCAACGTTTCTTTTCAAGAATTAGGGGATGTTCTTTGGCACTTGTTTCATTGCACCACTGCAAACATAAATTAAATGTGTAGATCACTGCAGTCACTCATTACAAGTGATTGTTGATACTAATAGGTCTACGTTTCATAATTTGTTAACCGTGGCACCAATCTCGAGTATTTATTTGGTTTACTGTTCAGCCCTACAAGAAAACATTTTCCTTGAAACTCAAGGAAAGTGCAGTGCAGACCTAATATATTTTCCCTGACAGTATCCATTGGACGGCTTCTGTACAGCCTGGATCAGGTTGAGCACCTAAGGTCATGTGTGTTGACAAAATAAGGCACAGTCAAATGATAAGTGATGTTCAGATACCCCAGAGTAGATTGTACAGAAAGTGCTGAGGGCAGAGTGGAGAAAGGTGTGTAATAAGAGCAGAGTTTTGAGTGCTTAAGGTGCCAGTGGTGCAGTAGGCTGGTGCGTGAGCGCTATGCCAGTCCCGCGGCTCTGTTGGCGCACTTCAGTTTTCATGTAATGCCATCCTTATGGTCTCTAGAAGTGGTGGCTGGTGTTTTTCAAAAGAGAGGAAGGACAGGTGGTGTCAGTTGTCATGCATTTCCTTACATTAGTTTGATAGCTTGGATTGTTGCATACACTGTAAAAAGAAAGTTTCTTTAACTTAACTTTTTGAGTTCAGTTAAGGTGTATTTACTTAGAATTTTAAGTGTTTTTCAACTTGACAAATGTAGTTAATTGAACTAAGAATGTTTAGTTATAATTAGGGCTGGGTATCGAGTTCGATACTTTTTAGGCACCGACCGAATTGCCTCGATACCATCGAGTATCGAAAAACGTCTCGTCGTTCGGTACCAAATTTCGATACCTAAGGGGTTAATCTCATCAGCGTTACTGAGCCAATAAAGGCCCGGGTATACTTCACTTTCCGCGTTCCGTTCAGTCTCGCACTCAGCCGCGTCCGCACAGCTTTCAAAGTATACTTAACCGTGGATGAGTGCAGACGGACAAGCTCGACACAGGCGCAGTTTGACTTGCGCTCTGTCTCAACTTTCACCTCGCGCATGCGCTGTTGTCATGGCCGGACTTACCACTGGGCTTGAATGGGCTGCAGCCCAGGGTCCCCCCCTTGTAGGGGGCCCCGCCTTAATCCGTTTACATTTGTTCAGTTATGTGCCAGTCAGAAATTATTAGCCACATTTCAACTGCGCACACGGGCCAGCCGGGGCCAACACCCAGCTAGAAATTTTTTGTTCTAAAAATGTTCTAAGAACATTACCATGGATTGTTCTAGCAATGTTTTTAGCGGGTAGTTTTATTTGTGTTCCCAGAACGTTCTCCTATAAGGTAGGATAACATTCTCTAAAAACATTCTAAAAATGTTTAGCGATAACATTGTTAGAACATCATTCCCTAACATTCTTACAATGTTTTTAGCGGGTAGTTTTAT